TGGCTAGGTGCGTACACGGGCTGCTAATGACCCACCCGCAGCCGATTCTGATAGCTTAGTCGAGACAGACTCAGCCGAATATCAAGCGATTCTGTCCAGTAGCTAGCTATCGAAAATCAGGCAACGAATGGATAGTTAGCGGGCAACGTGTTCAGGCGAGGCGGGCTTGCGCGTTCAACGTTGTTGATGAGGATTGTAGGTCCTGCAAGACTAAACAAAATCTTTTATACCCAGCGAGCCAGATTTTTTCCCCATCTTCCGTCTAACTCTATTAGTTGTTCCGGTGGCCTTTTAGCTATTTTCAAACCAGAATAAATCTAAGATCTTTAATTTGCAGCACTGTAGTCCTCGTCGCTTCCACCCTATTACATTCATTGCTTGAATTTTATTTTCTTCTTCTAAAACTGTCTTCTGAATGAAGTAGCCAGTCAAACGCTAACCACCTTTAATGACTTCTTGCAACAGGCACGATGCACAATTAACTGTTTATTCGTCGTCCCCTTGCGGGACGCAGTTTTCGTTACTTTGAAGCCCCACCTTTGTTGTTGCCGGCAGCCCTAATATAACCTAACGTGAACAAGGTTTCCGGGGACCTCTTCAAGGGAGATCCTCATCCGCATTGGGGAACTTTGTGTCACCGGGTGTTTATCGCTCTGTGTGATGTCCTAGTGGGGTAAAAGTTACTTACGATGCGCGCGTTACTGTTTTCTGCGTTTACTGGGAACCCCGAAAGCTCAAACGAAATTTACATTATAATATTCAGTTCTCCCTGTGTGGGGTCCTATTTTTTTCGATAAAAAAGGGGGGGGGGGGTGAGGGGAAGGGAGGAAGAATATGCTGCTCGATAACAAGTGTATCATAACTAAAGTGGCCAACTGAAGATTGTTTTTAAATCTGATGTTTTTGGACATTGTAGTAAGGGCCAACTTAAGGTCTGAATATTCCTGACTGACCCTTTTTCTTTTTGCCTTCTTCGCGTTCACCGCCTGTGAATTCCGGCGGAATGTCCTGGTTGTTCGTCCATTTGGACTTTGGCTTTACATTAGGACATGAGTCTCGCGTGAACATATGTTTTACTGGCTTATTTATAAGCAGTTCTTGTTCCCTTTCACTTGGGAAGATGTACTCCGACTTTGAAAAAAGACGCCCTTTGAAATTAAAAAAAATAAACGATGGCTAAATAATATAGCCACAAAAAAAATAAAATAATAAACGGTAGTATTGTTAATATATAATATAATACTGGGAATAAAAGAAATACAAATGTTAATGATACATAAATGATACTGATATTAGTAAAGATTTATGTCACAGCATTAAAATCTTGCTCTGGCGATCATACTACGCGCCTCGCTTTGGAAAATCGCCTCATCCACAGCCTAGGCGTTCTTAGTCCAGGTGGTATCAATATCCAACATACCTTCATCTAAATAGTTCTACTCTTATCACATTTTTAATGTTAATTATTTTCTTTTATTTCATATTATTACTTTATTCTTTTTCTTATCAGTATCATTTATGTATCATTAACATTTGTATTTCTTTTATTCCCAGTGTTATATTATATATTAACAATACAACCGTTTATTATTTTTTTGGGGCTATATTTTGTAGCCATCGTTTTTTTTTTTTATTTCATTTCTTCCACATCACATTTTTTTTAGAGATCTACACACTCTCCTCTCCTTGTTTGTGTAGTCCACTTGTGTTTGAAAAAGGCCGCCGGGTCGAAACGTTACGTTGTGTTGTTTTGTTCACTTTTTACAGCTTCCCCATTTTGTTGAGCTTTTAGTCACATTTTTCTGGAATACCTACACAAAAGCATGTCGTAAGAGTCGACTAATTAGGAGTTTCATTTAAAGTCGGAGTGCATCTGCCTGAGAGGCAAGGAACCAGCAGTCTGCATACAAATGAGTTAGATCTGTAAAACGGATGTACACCCAACACTCGTGTTCTGGAACATGAATGCAGTCAGAAGTGGATGAACAACCAGAACTTTCCGCCAGAGTTTACAGCTGGTGGACGCGAAGAAGAAGAAGATAGACATTTTCAACCATGCACCCATGGGGGTCGACTGATGGAGGGTAGGGATCTTCTAAAAGAAGAATGAAATAAAGAAAGATTCCCCGCCACCTTTTCCTAAAAAACAGAGAAGGGAGGTAGAGAGTGAATTTACAAAGATGGGAAGGGCATGGGATAAGCTGCTTGAAACAGCCAAGGACAGAACGACTTGATGAGGGCATGGGATAAGCTGCTTGAAACAGCCAAGGACAGAACGACTTGATGAGGGCATGGGATAAGCTGCTTGAAACAGCCAAGGACAGAACGACTTTATGAGGGCATGGGATAAGCTGCTTGAAACAGCCAAGGACAGAACGACTTTATGAGGGCATGGGATAAGCTGCTTGAAACAGCCAAGGACAGAACGACTTTATGAGGGCATGGGATAAGCTGCTTGAAAACAGCCAAAGACAGAACGACTTTATGAGGGCATGGGATAAGTTGCTTGAAACAGCCAAGGACAGAACGACTTTATGAGGGCATGGGATAAGTTGCTTGAAACAGCCAAGGACAGAACGACTTAATTTATGAGGGCATGGGATAAGCTGCTTGAAACAGCCAAGGACAGAACGACTTTATGAGGGCATGGGATAAAGCTGCTTGAAACAGCCAAGGACAGAACGACTTTATGAGGGCATGGGATAAGCTGCTTGAAACAGCCAAGGACAGAACGACTTTATGAGGGCATGGGATAAGCTGCTTGAAACAGCCAAGGACAGAACGACTTTATGAGGGCATGGGATAAGTTGCTTGAAACAGCCAAGGACAGAACGACTTTATGAGGGCATGGGATAAGTTGCTTGAAACAGCCAAGGACAGAACGACTTGATGAGGGCATGGGATAAGTTGCTTGAAACAGCCAAGGACAGAACGACTTTATGAGGGCATGGGATAAGCTGCTTGAAACAGCCAAGGACAGAACGACTTGATGTGGGCATGGGATAAGCTGCTTGAAACAGCCAAGGACAGAACGACTTTATGAGGGCATGGGATAAGCTGCTTGAAACAGCCAAGGACAGAACGACTTTATGAGGGCATGGGATAAGCTGCTTGAAACAGCCAAGGACAGAACGACTTTATGAGGGCATGGGATAAGCTGCTTGAAACAGCCAAGGACAGAACGACTTTATGAGGGCATGGGATAAGCTGCTTGAAACAGCCAAAGACAGAACGACTTTATGAGGGCATGGGATAAGTTGCTTGAAACAGCCAAGGACAGAACGACTTTATGAGGGCATGGGATAAGTTGCTTGAAACAGCCAAGGACAGAACGACTTTATGAGGGCATGGGATAAGCTGCTTGAAACAGCCAAGGACAGAACGACTTTATGAGGGCATGGGATAAGCTGCTTGAAACAGCCAAGGACAGAACGACTTTATGAGGGCATGGGATAAGCTGCTTGAAACAGCCAAGGACAGAACGACTTTATGAGGGCATGGGATAAGCTGCTTGAAACAGCCAAGGACAGAACGACTTTATGAGGGCATGGGATAAGTTGCTTGAAACAGCCAAGGACAGAACGACTTTATGAGGGCATGGGATAAGTTGCTTGAAACAGCCAAGGACAGAACGACTTGATGAGGGCATGGGATAAGTTGCTTGAAACAGCCAAGGACAGAACGACTTTATGAGGGCATGGGATAAGCTGCTTGAAACAGCCAAGGACAGAACGACTTGATGTGGGCATGGGATAAGCTGCTTGAAACAGCCAAGGACAGAACGACTTGATGTGCATTGATTGGCTGAGGGTCTGTGCTTCACCGAGGGACAGAATGCAAATGAAAAAGACTTCTCCGTTTGGTTCCAACTGTAACTGTTACATGGTTCCATCTGTAGCTGTTACATGGTTCCATCTGTAGCTGTTACATGGTTCCAACTGTAGCTGTTGCATGGTTCCAATTCTAGCTGTTACATCGTTCCATCTGTAGCTGTTACATGGTTCCATCTGTAGCTGTTACATGGTTCCATCTGTAGCTGTTACATGGTTCCAACTGTAGCTGTTACATGGTTCCAACTGTAGCTGTTACATCGTTCCATCTGTAGCTGTTACATGGTTCCATCTGTGGCTGTTACATAGTTCAAACTGTAGCTGTTACATGGTTCTAACTGTAGCTGTTACATGGTTCCAACTGAGGCTGTTACGTGACAGCCGATATATTTGATGGACCATCAGGTAGACTGGTCGCAGTCTCCGCACCACGGGTCAAAGAACATGGTTGCAACGCACCACGGGTCAAAGAACATGGTTGCAAATTATGTGCGTCAAACCGAACCTCCTCCTATTTCTTCTCCTGCTCCTCTTCTTCTTCTTCTTCTTCTTCTTCTTCTTCTTTCACATTAAAAGGACGGTTAGCACGTTGTGTTGTGGTTTTTTCCCCAAAAGACATTGACAGCCATGCCTTTCGACCCACCACATTTAGTATCAGTAAACAATCCTAATCATTCGCTTTCTCCGATATGCTAAAGGGCATCTGGTCTACCCCTTTCCCAAATAGGCTTCGGAAGCCACACGCAGTGGCATAGATAGGTCACGCATTTTGTCACAATTCCCCCCCCCCTCCCTAGTGATGACCCCCAGGGCAGTCCGCCCCTGCCATCCTTTCTTTCACAACTGCTCACAAGGGTGGACAATAGCTGCTGAAGAGAAACCAACAAAGGAAGCAAACTATATATTCATTAAACGATGCAAGCTTGAACAGAACGTTTATTTGCAGTTTTATTACATAATAATTCTCTGTAGCCCAGTGGTTCTCAAACCTGCCTGGTCACCCTTGCCTTTTTGTGTGGGTCGAACGACCCTTTCACATGGGTCGCCTAAGGCCATCGGAAAACACATATTTGTTGAAGTTATGAAGGGAAATAATTGTTTGAGTGTGGCCACAACATGAGGGAACTGTATTAAAGGGTCAAGGCATTAGGAAGGTTGAGAGCCATTGCTTTAGCCGATGATATCCATATAAGTATAGTACTGACCAGAATTTGTGAGGTAGCTTTCATCGCCCACAGCGATTATTTTGCCTATTCTATAATTATAACCTTGACCTCCAGTAAAGTTCAACTTCCCATTATGAAACAGCTGAGCGCGGGCACTGACGTAGTACAAGTTGCTTGAATCGTAGTTACCAAAGGCTAACCCATCGGGCCACTGTAAGGACTCCCAGTTCTGCGCCAGAGGCGTTTCGGTCACCAGCTGGACCTCTCCTTCAAGTACACCCTGCTGCATTAAGTCTGTTTCTATTTCCCATCTGAGGAGAAAAGTACAAGTGGTGGTTAGATATTTACACGCGGCTCCAAGTTTAAATTCTAGAGATGTCGGTGGGTAAACAAAGCAAAAAAATCACACAGAACACAACTAAACACACATGGCCATGTGTTTAATCGTTTGTAAAGGGGCCAATTTGATTCGAATATGGCTAATGTGTATTGCTCTCTGACCCCGAGAATACTGTTCTTGGAAATCTGCAAGGGAAATCGAAAACGTGTTTTTACGTCCATAGCACTGTGGGTCAAGAATCCCTATTACGTCGAAAGTCGTGCACGGCAAAGTAAGGGAAAATGGTGAAATGAGTTTACAGGAGGGAAAGGGTTAAGTTGCCTTATATGTAAGTCCCATGACTTTTCCTTGTACAAGATTACACAAAGGAGGTGGTGGGAAAAATACCAGTATAGAACAGGGTTGCCATATTGGCATTTTTTATGCCAGATTCCACAAATCTGGCATATTTGAAACTGAACTGGCATAAGATAATAAACTGGTATATTCTGGCATATTTGGGTTTTTTCTAGCATTTCTTATAAAGATGTGCTCACATTTTCTTCATGTTCCTCTATTAGAAACACGCAAATTTACTAAAAGCAATGTAGACCTACAGTTAAAATCTTTATTTCAGTTTGACTTTGTTGTGATGTCCTGGTACAGACTAACGGAGATTCGCGCCATTTCTTATTGTTTTGTTGCCTTCCTAAACGGATCGTGAATGTTATAAACCTCTGTAATTTATGTTAATTTACTAGAATAAATGCGAGATATAAAACGAAAACTCACCACTGATACCAAGTGATTCAGACTGTTCAGAAACTACTTGAGGACAGAAAATAGATAGGATATAGACCTAGTTCTATCTGTGATATATTTTATTACTGTTACTAATGGCTACGTCATCCAAAAAATGGGAAGTATCTTATGAAAGCAATCGCAAGTATAATAGTAATTGGGAGAAAACGTACTCATGGCTCAAAAGATCTTCAGACGGATCAGAGGCAGCATATTGTAAGCTGTGTCAGTGCACTGTTGCACCAAGAATTAGTAGCATTTCAAATCATGAAAAAACCGAAAAACACAGGATGAAAACTCCGCCAAAAAGCCAGTCACAGCTCATTACAACAATAACAAGTAAAGTAATGATAAAGTTAAAGCAGCAAAGTTGCAACTTACTGTAGGCATGACCTGCCATTGCGCAATATGCACAATTGATCATCTAAGTGAAATAATGAGAGCGCATGGTCAGGGGAGTACATTGGAGCACATGCAGTTGCATAGAACTAAATGTTTATGCTTAATAAGAAATATTATATCGCCTGCACTTAAGGATGACCTTATTGATGATTTTCGGAACAAGAACTATGCCATCATTATAGAAAGTACTTGTGCATTATTGTGCATTATAGTTTTTTCAGTGACAGGAAAAATTGAAATATTTACCGGATTTCTTGCTTTAATTTTCTTGCAAGTGGCTACAGGAGAAAACTTATTTAATTTGATTGATAAGGAAATCAAAAGGTGTGGTCAGACTCTTACAAATTGCATTGTGTTTGCGTCAGATGGCGTTTCAAACATGGTCGGGTGCAAGAACTCGGTATGGTTCAGAATTAAAGATGTGTCTCCTTTTTGTGTACAGCTCAGATGTATCTGCCATTTATTATCACTCTGCATTTGTAGTGCAATTGCCAAGCTGCTATCAAATATTGGTTTCTTACTGTCATAAATACCTTAGTGGTTTTGTCATAGTGATTTAAGATTAGAAGCCTATAAAGAACTGTTTAGAGTGATAAACACATCTACGGAGTTTGAATCAGAACGAACTGCTCCTCTTCCATTTCAGAAACTGTCACCTTTTAGGTGGCTTGTGCGTGGAAAGATTATGTTCAATATGTTAGTGAACTGGAAAGAATTGAAAGCTTATTTCACATGTGCTGAATTAGCATAGACAATGTTTGACACAAAATATAAAGTAAGATTGTTAAAGGAAATGCTGTTAGACAACAATAATTATTTGTACTTTGTGTTTGCGACACCAACTGTACACGAATTTGAAAAAGTGAACAGTCTTTTTTCAACAAACAAAAGCTGATCCTCATGAACAAGAATATACACCAAGAATTGCCCATGCACCAGAAATATCTTAAGAACAGACTGTATGACGTCAATGAGCAGAAACAAAAATTATCAGGTAGACTTTGGTATTAAATTCCTAACGGAATGTAATGCGTTCCTACAGAAGAATAACGGGACTGAAGTTCAGATAGAAATAAACAATTTTGATGAAAGATGCATGTCTGTGCTAGAGGAAGCTATCAATCAAATTACGTGTAGACTTCCCACCGAGAATATATTTCAAAATCTGTCAAAATTGAGCCCTTTGGCAGTTTTAAATCAAATATCAAGGACAGTTTTCAGAGCTACAATTTTTACACCTGGCAGAAAACAACATCAGCATTTTAGAAGATCAGTACATAAAACTGATTGTTGTCAACTGGAAAGAAGAAGTTACAATTAAGAAGGATGGACTACCTACAAACTGTGAAGAGTTTTGTATAGGCGTACTTCGACACCAGGCATTTAAAGAGTTGGCCAGTTTCGCCCTTACTTGCCTAATAATGCCAGTTAGCAATGCTGCAGTTGAGAGAATATTCTCTCTTGTTACTTGAGCTAAATCAAAAGCAAGAAACAAAATACAACTGGATTTTCTTGATGCAGTTGTCAGAATTAGAGCAGAACTATTGATATCAAAGAAATGTTGCAAAGACTTCATTCCATCTGAGTAAATGCTTAAAGATTTTACATCCGAAAAGGTTTATGCTGCATCTTTCATTGGTTCCAGTGAGGATGACAATGAAGAATTCAATCTAGAGCTTTTGATGTGAAGTGAGTACAATGTTACACTTTATTTGGCAATTTTCTGGCATATTTTCGATGATGGTTTGGAATAAAATGAAGTTTTTTATCTGGCAACCCTGGTATAGAATAATATTACTCTCAGACTGAGTGCTGATGTAAAACAGATTAATCCGCTCGTACTTTTAACAAATAGTGGGTACGAAGTACCCCTCAAATAATAACAAACCGAACGTCTGCATACAAAACAGATCTTCGGATGTGCACGCAATAAGATATATGCGAAAAAAATTACTCAAGCGCTGAATTATTAAAGTAAAATAAGTTTTGTCATTATAAATATTAATTGTTTGCTTTTGTTTGTTTTTAAGCAATGAAGTCAAATTTGTCAAAAATTACCTATTGTGTAAAACAAAATATTTTTTTTATTAAAACTGTTTAAAGATTTTATATTGCTTGTGTTCTTTTAGTAATAACTAAGTATGTGTACAATATAATACTATTTGTAAATTATTCCCCTTACATTAATAACGTCCCTTACATAGTTTATTATATTTTATTTGTATTCAAAGTGAGGGTTGCGAGGCAAAAATAGTCAGTCGCTTTGTGTGATGCACGCGACAGGCTGTTAGACGTTTTGCGGAAAGAGGCCGAACCATATGGCATAAAACCCGGCGCATTAAAGTCGTATTATTTGCACTTGGATTACTAGTTTGAGTCTTTGGTGTGTATATGTGACACTTTCTCAATAACTTCTACAGTAAGGGAATAGTTCAGTAGTCTTAGCCAGTTTAGGTTGTTTCACACAATTTTATTCTTTCTCTTTTACTTTTTTACATTCCTCAATTCCTTTTTCCTCACCTCGCTGCCTCTGTCTTATCTTTATCTATAAAGACTTGCATATTTTTGCGTGTCCTGCAAATGAACTTCTTTATTTGTTTCTGTATTTTCTCGTTACTATCAACATGTAAGCATTCCTTCCTTGGATGTCAATGAGCGGGTTAGCAGGAACTGCTCTATTGTGTTTTTCTGAAAGTCTGAGCATACGGGTGCTGTAAATTTGGCTTTCCAGTATCCAAGTTTTAATCTCAGTACTTTGTTATCTGCTGGAATTTTTAGGTTGTCTGAGACTTGGATTGTTAGGGCGGGTTCTCTCAAACATTCGTATGACCTTCTGCTCGTAGCACTTATTTCCAACTTCTACATTCCTGTAATATACCGTTTAATTTGTAATTTTCCCTCACTTTTCTATAGGCCTGTTTCTATAATATATATATATAATGGCTGCTGGCACATTTTGCAGAAATGTCCGACTTTTCATTACAGACTATGCCTTTATGAGCCGGAGCCCATGCTTTTGTGATCTGACATCTGTTGTTCCTAAGTTGTGTGGTTGGTGTTAATATCTCCTCTTGAATGTCTGATCTACTTCTCTTAGTATAGTTTCCTAGTGTTTGTACCGATGAAAGAGAATTGGTCACGACACATGAACAGATCTGAAAGGAAAGCAAGAGGTCGCCCTAGGAGGAAACTGATTGATATTATTGAAAAGCTACATCGACATGGAATGACAACTGCCATTGCTGCCTATCAAGCAATGAATGGCAAACTGTTCCTCGCCACATTGTTTAACGCAGAAATGGAAACTGATGATGTTGATGAGTGTTATATTGTACAATGGAGAGGCATGGGACTCACACACCATGGCGATGGCGAGTGCAACTAGCAAGAAAAGTCTTCTACAATTATGGCATGGGATTTCAGACCGTTGTTGTCATCATTTGTCACCGTGCCTTACCTACCTGTATATTGCATCATGCGCCAAAGCTCCGTAGTACAAGCCTCGGTGTCCAAACAGAAGAGCATCAGAGTTAGACTTCTTTTGCCCAACGAGTCGTAGGTTGCCCACGAAATCCGCATCTTTGTCCCGCAACACCCAGGTGGGAATCTGAAAAAGATTCTTGGATCCTAGGGCACAGTAGTAGACGTAGTTGAAGGTTGGAGACAGGGCTATACCGTTGATTCCCAGTGAGAAATTGTAAGACTGGCCATTGATTGAAAACGCACTGGAGAAACATCATTAAAAAAAGTTGATTTAAATACAGTGTATTAAAAGCGCAGACTCTAAACACCGCACACATATTGGCTTAAAGTGCGCATGGCTTCTTTAAGTGCTTAATCATTTTAGTAATAAATGACAAATTAATATAACAGTATATTTGAAAAATCTATGTCTAAGAAGAGATCATTTGAAATTCCTTACAATGACTTTATAACAAAAGCAGGAAAGTAACATCAAAAGGTATGTTACAATTAAACAAAGCATTCATTCTGAATGAATTATGCACCATTAGTAAAGGTAAAGTCTAGAAAAAAAAATCGCTGTAGGCATTCGGGCTTATCCCCTGTCTACACTATCTCTTTTAAAAAAAAGTGGTACATACAGACAGAAGTGGCATAAAACAAAAATCCCATTTCGCTAAGTTAGGTGATGAACGCCGCTCGCAAACTGAACCATGTGTTTTCTGCGTTTATTACTGGTACACACATTCCGATATTGCAGTTTCTTACCAACAACATTTTGAACTGCCCAAACTAACACATTGATTTATTTCGCTAGCGGACGTTTGGTTCGACAACGGTTCTGCTATACTGATGCCTCAGTTTTGGCAATTGTTTTTTTTTTCGCTTGACACGGCCGTGCACAATGTATCGTGAACTCACGTTCTTTCTGAAACATTTATAGCCAGTCTGTTACTGTTGTATTGTATATTATATATTATATATTATATAAGTAATTTTATTTATTTCGTGTGGTTTTGTTTGATTTACGTATGTGCTGATAAAGGCTCTGTAGCCGTAACGTTCACTTTTCGTTTGTGTTTGTTATTTTGTGAAGTTAGCTAATCTACCTCTCATTCGCTTTAAAATCTTTCCAGACACAGAAAGCCTTCGATTCCTAGAACTGGCCATACCCTCTCCTCCTCCCCTCCCCCCCCCCACCCCCCCAACCGACAGCCTGAGCTAAGGTCCCACGAGAGACTCTTTTCGAAGAAAACAGTACAACGTGACACCCCTCTGACCGGGACCAGACTGAGAAAGTGTGTAGATGGACCGGGAAACGTGAATAGGACCAAAGCTTCTTCCCCGTATGGGTTCCGGGGCCTCTTGAAGAAAAAAATCAAGGAGAGGGGAAAGGTATAACTTCTGAAATAAAAAGCGCGTGTGGTAAAATTCGTCTCAATAGGCGTTTGCTTAAATCAGATGTGTGGGACCGAAAGGTTCAGCAGATATCGCAGCCTGGCTGTAAACCACAACACAACACGCCAACTGCCCTTCAAGGACACGTGAAAAATAAAATGAAAAGCCGAGCCGCTGGAAGTCCTTACCTGTCGTCATCGAAGCTCATGGAAGCGTGGGTAAAACTCCAGGATGTATTTGTTGTGAAGTCGAACACAACAAGCTGCTCACCTGCACACAAGAATTCAGTAATACACATTCAGAGAAAGAAAAAAAAAAAAAAAAAAGGAAGGAACAGGCAGACAGAGTGGCTGGATCTGCATGGCTGGATCTGCACCACTGGGTGGTAAATTGATACATGACAAGGCAGATGAGGCAAGGGCCCTTTGGGAACAAGCAACCGAGTCAGAAGCAAAACAAGATTATTATAGCCTGGAGAGACGGATGAGCCTGGGTGTAAACAGAGGGTCTGGCCGACTCACTACAGAGGGGAAAGGCAAGACGGACATATAACCCGATGACGACCGGTACTACTAGTAGTGGAACTCTGCCCTGGCTGCTGAAGACGAGGACGCAGCACGCATGGGAATGCTCTGAGTGCTGTGATGTCATTTCAGCTCAACTCACTTCAACTTCACAAGGGAGTAAAGCAAAAGCCTTGTTTTCACTCACTGGGCTGACCTGGTTACAAAGAGCTTCTACGCCTACTGACCAGTGTTTCTCAACCCGTTTTGTGCAATGCCCCACCTAAGTAAAAGCGAAGGACCCTTTTTTCACGCCTTCCTGCATATTGGACATATAGGGCTTGATCTAAATTTCATAGATCAATCAGCACTTGGTGGGTGATGTGGTCAGCATCACGCCGGTCACCTTCCCAGGACTGCACCTGGTACCCACTCAAGGCTGGGTCGACCTGAGAGGTAAGGTCATTTTTGAAACAAGTCCGGTTCTGTCAGGACCCTAACCCACGACCTTCCGATCCGCAGGCGAGCGTCTAGCCGCTACACCACGGCGACTGCTTATGCCCCACCTAAGTCTTTCTACAATTCGTATACCCTCTCTATAACCTAAACTCAGAATCTGTCCATTTTAGAATGACCCCCTTCACACTTTTTTACAACAATCAACCCCCCCCCCCCCCTTTTTTTTTATTAAAAAAAAACAAACAATCAAATTCTCCCCCCCCCCCCCCTTCTTCCTTTTTTTTTTTTTTTTTTGAACAATCACTCTCCCTCCCCATTTTCAGGGGGGCATAGGCCCCACTTTGAGAAACACTGCTATAGACCGATTGACATTGGATAGATATTGCTGTCAATGCTAGGCCAGCCGGCTCTATAACCCAGGGGAGGGGAAAGGGGCGGGCGCGGGGAGCCACTGCCCCCTACCGAGCATGTCGTAAAAGACAGGCACCAGTTAGGAGTTTGCTGAAAACGAATGTGTTGGACCGAAAGGCGCAGATATCGCAGCCTGGCTGTAAACCACCACACAACGTACTTAACGTCCAAAGGGCGAACACAACAGACGAAGAAAGATCCATCAGTCGGTTTGTCCTTTCGGGCAGCTATCTAAAGGTCTACCATACCACCATGAGATCAAAGAATCTCAATCTGGTTGGCAGACTAACGAAGCAGATCCCAGATACCCTGTTCAACCCCCAAATTGGTTGTAATTACGGCACCTGCAACGGCTGCACCAGCCAGCTGCCACCTGCAGGCCTGTGTGGGTAAGGACGTTCATTCGATGGTTACCACGTGACATGTACTCTAATCATTCAGAGCGGCAGCTGATAAATGCACTGTTCGTACCAGTTGTGTGCTATCAGTGCTAGACAGTCCTTGAAATACATATATGCAAAATTACAGCACGTAAGATGAAATGTATAATATATTTGTGTGTGGTTGGGGGAGGGAGGGGGGTTTGTGGGAAGGAGATAATGTAAGAAGAAATAGAAGCACTAATAAGCAACTAAGAGGCATAGGACGAAATTGAAAATAATACAACTCTTCTTCTTCTTCTTTGCGTTCGGTTTTGTATGCTCAGGCCAGACCATCAGATGGATTGTCCAAATGAACTTGCATGTCAGGTCCTTCATGGTTCCCCATAGCCTGCTCTGCACACTCTGCTCTTGAGGCCAGGTGTCTTTTCGAAGTGTAATTAGATTCGGCAGGTCTGTAGAATGTGCTCAGGTGTTTGTGGTCCTGTTTGACGGGCACACTGTGGAGACTGTACAATCTTTATTTTATGGATAGGGCAATCGTGAGGTCAAATACAAGAACATGAGGCGGCCACAAATAAAAGTGCATCGACAACGTTAAAGACACTTTAGGCCTTTACGGTATGACGATAGCCAGAGCCATCCCCGTGTACACTGGATTGCAGATTGTTTCTCCTCAGGAAGCAGTAGTAGTAGTAGTAGTAGTAGTAGTAGTAGTAGTAGTAGTAGTAGTAGTAGTAGTAGTAGTAGTAGTTGTTGTTGTTGTTGTTGTTGTAGTTGTTGTAGTAGTAGTAGAAGAAGAAGAAGAAGAAGAAGAAGAAGAAGAAGAAGAAGAAGAAGAGAAGAAGAAGAAGAAGAAGAAGAAAAAGAAGAAGAAGAAGAAGGCTTTTTTTTTTCTTTGATCCTACCTGTAATCTATGTCAATACTCATAGGATTCTGAAGCGCACTGCAGTTTCCAAGTTTATTGAACTCCCAGTTCGGATATGGTGTCAAGACACCCTCTTTGCTGCTAGAGTCTTTTACCCAAACAGTGTTTAAACTAGCAGGAACGCCATCTTTGAACCGAAGCCGCGGTACTGTTACGAACAACTCGTTACCATCTCCCACCTTCAAAGCCGATGGCTGACACGCCTCTGGGTTGTACTCCCCTCTAGCGATGTAATCAGCTTTGACAGTTTCATTTGGCCAGTCCCAGTCCAGAACCACAGATTGGTAAACGAGTTCGCACGACGTTTGGCTCACTATTGTCGTTACCGCCAACAGGAGCAGATGTAGAAGTTTCACCATGGCGTGCTTCAATAGTCTCTTGCCAAGTCTGAAAGCACAACGAAAACCTGAAAAGACAACTATAAATAGTTGTGGTGGGGGTAGTGTCAGCCTAGCTCCTGTATATACAAATCGTGAAAAATCAAGGGCCACCTAGACAAACCGGATTGATACTATAAAATAATTCTAATATAAACGTAAGTAATTTCATTGAAACCGGCATTTATTGAATACCAAATTGACCTGTTTAGCAGAAATGGAAACACACATTCAACTGGTTAGTTGTGTATCCTTTACAGGACGTTGCAGCACCAACCCCAACAGCCCCTGGCTGTTGTGTGGTTTCTCTAGTCAAATTTACGTCCAGTAGTTTGCCAATACCACTGGACGGTCGGCTTTCTTGATACCACTGTCGAAAAAAAAAAACGCAAGGCGCATGGCCCGAAGCTGGGATCGAACCCGGCATCGCGGGATTACGAAGCGTTCGCATAGACTTAGCCACAGAGCCAACATTGGACAACTAGATATTTCAAACTAGGGTATGACCGCCGTTTGCAAGAAGGCATTCAAGACAGTGTAGACACATCGAGTCCACGGGTACCCGATTAGTATCCATAAGAATAGCTTGCCATTCTTGAAACAGAAATACAGTCAGCAGTGCAAGATCCATTGGCAGGAAGTGATTTGTTTATAATCTTCGACCAGAGAAACCCGAGAGGTGCTCAGTCAGAGAAAGGTCAGGTTTACTTTGAATCAGGATTCAACTAGTACTATTAGCAGCTCTTTGCTGGTTACTGGAGAAGGAGAATGAGCACTTACGTGTTTGTACCCGTGTGCCATGATGTTTATCCATTGTTCAAACCTCAAACCTCGACAAAACTCCAACTCCGAGGCCTCAGGAAACTGTTTGGATTTTTCGCTCATTGTCCAGGACTTACAGAAGGAAAGGTGAGATTAGAAGAATCATGATGTTGTGTAGGCTATTTATCTCTCAGCGATCACCAGCTGTAAGCTCCAGTGGGAATTTCGGGTTGTTTAGCCATCTCTTGACTTTAGACTTGTTCCGGAACCTGAGTGTTGCGTACATATCCGTTTTACAGATCTGATTTATTTGTATACAGACTGCTGGTTCCTTGCCTCTTGGGCAGATGCACTCCTGCTTTGAAGGAAACCACCAATTAGTCTACTCTTACGACATGCTTGTTGGAGAGACAGTGGGTCTATTCTTGTTCTCCCCACAATGGGGCCCCAGAACCCACACGGGGTAAGCAATTTATGATATACGGTTTTTGTCCCACAAAAACTATATGACCAACATCATCAACATACATATATTTTTTAACCGCAATGTGTCACTTATCTTTAGAGCTCAACAGAATCAGAATGGCACTATGAAAGAGATTTGTCAGATAAGCGGGTAACAAAAGAAAACAATCTTACCTTAGTTAATGTCGTGTCTAATTTGGAAACATCAGATGTTTTTATACACTACGGGATTAGATCTCTTATCATTGTATCCTAGATTTGACGACTGTTTATTGCAGGGGTGTCGACACACAAACATCCTTTCGGTAGAAGCGCCACTGAAAAAAAAATTTGGGAAGGGGCGCGGGGCTGGAGTAGCCCAGCAGAAAGTTTCTAGCGCGGAAAAGGGAGCGCTCAAGCCTTGTTTAATAATTAATATTAATAAATTTTATTATGTGCTGAATGGCTAATAAATGTAATTAAATATTTGAAAACACACGAAATGAATAAACAATATGCTTGAAAAGAAAACGTAAACACACAGTGGGCAAGGATGGAGGGAGGTTCTACTCCTAAACAAACTGGGGAAAATGTGGTTGGGGGAGGGGAGTGGGGTCTAAACCCACAGTTTAAAATTGGTTTCCCAGCCTCCATGTTCTGGCTTTTCTTTGTGCGGCTCAGCCCCTTTATAACTTTCTAGGCTGGGGGACATCGGCGGGCCTCTGTACGTTTTAGGCGAACATAGCCACCCCGCCCAATAATTTTTAGTTATCAGAGCCCCCCCCCCCCCCCCGCTCCCAACCCTCAACATGTATATATGGTTTCGTTTAAATAATTCGTTTGAAACATTGGATATTACTTCAAATACATTACATTTATTTCTCTCAGCACGGAGCAATAAATAATAATACTAATTATTAGTGCACAATTAAACATGGCGTGAGCCTCTCCCATCCTTATTGAAAATAATAAAGGGGTGGAGTCCCCCCCCCCCTTTTTCGCGTTTTCGTTGTGGCGGCGCGCCTGGTGTATG